GTTCAGGGTAGAAGCTGTTCCTCAGTCTAGTGGTTCTACACTTAAGGCTCCTCGACCTTCTGCATGAGGGGAGCGGGACAAAAAGTGTGTGTGCTGGGTGAGTGGGGTTCATGGCATGAAAGGTGTTGACCTTTAATTTTGTAATGTTCTCTAGTATGTTTATTGAATAAAAATAATCATGTAAGATTTTGTTTGTTTGTTTGTTTTATCTGTTTGTGTCGATTTTAAGCCTTAGGAACAAACAACAGCTGCAGAGATGATTGTAGCGAGTTATTTCTGGTTGCAGGCTGTAGATGGTGAGAATTTTCTACGCAGCGTTCACAAAAATGCAAAGACTGATAGACTGTCATGTGACACCAACAATGAGCTGTGACCTGAAACAGACATATAAAGTAAATGATCGCCACAAATAAGCTGACCAACTAAGTAAAAAGTTGTTTAAACAGGCAAATGTTGTGTCTTGTTCACTATAATGCATAATTTAAAAAAATCCCAAATCAATTGCTAACTTTCCATGTTCTTCCCTGAAGCTGCATCTCTTAAGATATTAACTTTTTATGAATACAAGATGCTTTTTTACTTTGATAATTGTTGGAGACAGATAGTTGACTACACAATTTGATGTTTTTTATTATTGGTCAAACCTTTCAATACGTTTGAGCCTGGTGCAGCATCCTTTTTATGTTCAAGGTCATCAGCAGACACTTCTTTAAAGAAGCTCAACTCCTTTATGGTGCGTCTGTCCTAGAGGTCTTTTAGCAGTGTATGGATGGTGCTGTTGTCTGTTGGAGTAACAATTTCCATAAAGATGGAAAATTCCACAGGGCAAAACCTGGAGATGTTTGAGTCCTGAAGAAAGAGGAGCTACCGCAACAATAATCTATTTTAGACAGCTGTCGTACCAACAGAGGAGTTCATTCTGGAAAAAAAAAAAAAAAGGCCTAGCATTTTTTGAAGGAATGTATATCACCCGCCACCTTTCATATCAAGTTTAGACTAAGATCATTTAAAAGGAGCATAGTTTTGGTCAAACCTTGTAAATAATGTTCTGGGTAATTTGATGTAATGCTCTATGTGCTGTTTTTTACTGCTAACTTTGATAGTCAGTCCAGTTCTAGGTGGCTGCCACAGATAATCAGCATAGCTCAGTCACAGTTACAGATATTGTGCTAGTTGTTGCTGTTAGTTGCTGAGCCATTCCTAACACATTCTCTAGCTTACTACCTTGCAGTACTGAGTAAGACTGCATTGTGCATACCGTATTTTTCGGCCTATAAGTCGCAGTTTTTTGCATTTAAAAAAACTCAAGTTGTATGTAATGCTGTTGCACCATGTAATAAGTTAAAGTGGCTATTAATGACACAACGCTTGCCTTAGTTGCCATGTTCGTCCTGCTCGCCTGGAGCAACCGTCAAATCATTTTCATTTTGCTGCGCTGCCCTGGTGAAATGCAGCTAATTTGACCTTTAAAGTGCATTTATTAAGTAAAAGTTCAACTGAGACATAACTTTACTATAATGTCGAGCAAACAAATAATTGTTTTAAGTGCTTGTTAAATTTAGAAGAAATACGCAACGTTCCTCCTTCTGATTTCCGGAGCACCGGATACTTTTGAGATACAGCCAGTTTGACTGTCAAAGTGCATTTATTAAGTAAAAGTTAAACTGAGACATCTTTACTATAATGTAGAGCAAACAAAGAATAGTTTTAAGTGTTAATCTTGTTAAATTCTTTTTAAAATCCTCCCGTGCATGCTCCTGCAGCCACCATTTGGCAGCCAGTCGATTTTTGGCCCACCGGCCCACATTTCCAGGTTGTCAGCGGTGACGCCGACGCGTAACAAACGCGACGCGTCAGCGGTGATGCATAATAGATGTGACTTATATGGCGAAGCGACGTATTTATGGATTTTTCCACTTTATTACACATATTTGGACTGATGGGACTTGTAGGGCGGTGCGACGTGTATGGCAGAAAAAACAATATAACATTATTTTCAAGGTTTAACTAAAATGGCTGTAATTCTGTAAGGTGGCCAGTGATGTGCATTCCTTGAAGATAGGGGTGCACCGATCACAGTTTTCTGGCCGATCACCAATGTCTGAACAGCCTGACCTGCCGATTTCGATTTTGGCCGATACCGATTTTGTTTTATAAGTTGCACTGTCAGCTGCTATAAGGTCACAATGCACCTTCAATTTTCCAATATTATTTTATTGAAAAACAGACCCTTGAACAATATCCTAGAAACAATACAAACTTGTTTTAATTGGCCACGAGGTAGTGCTCTGAAATATAAATGAAGTTCAGACAATTGTTGTTAAAAATTAAAAAAAAATCTGTAAAATCAGTTTCTCATGCAAGTTTCAGCCGATTTCCCAAAATTAAGGAAATCGGGGCCCTACACCCCTAGTTGAAGGAGTTTTGGGTGTTTTCTGTTGATGTGTGGCTTTCACTTCCTGTTCTAAAGATGTCCGACTGTGGCAGAAATATCAGCACAACTTCAGCTGTCGGAGTGATCAAACTTCATCCACATCTGAGGCCTTTTTATAGCATCAAAGCGTCAGTCCTGCTCGCATGCAGCAGAAACCTGCAAGAAAAGATACTTTTTTTTAGATTGTCCAACTGTAATTCTGTTTCACCAAGT